GGCCTCCAACCTAGTAGCGATGGCCTCCAACCTGGTAGCGATGGCCTTCAACCTAATAGCGATGGCCTCCAACCTGGTAGCGATGGCCTCCAACCTAGTAGCGATGGCCTCCAACCTAATAGCAATGGCCTCCAACCTAATTGCTTCTTGTTACTAGTTGAAAATCCAGACTTCAAAGTCGGTGACCTGGCAGGTCACTCGGGTCCTGGCACCCAGTTCACATTGACATCTTTCTTTGGCCTCGTCCGGTGCCTCCTTTTTCTCCCGGGGTGCGGAAAAGAAAAGAAAAACACGGCGGCCTGCAATGGTGGTGGCTCCAGCCATTCTCGGGGCGAGGGAAGTCGACCCACTCGGGGTGGCCGAATTCGTTCCCCATGAAGTTCAAGTAGCCCTCTCCTTGGCAAATCCGCAGAACTCCCATTGCATGCAGAGAAATTGTGGGCAGATTCTCCAGGTGCATGAGAAAAAACCGCTGAGTGCAATTTCCGAAGTGGGAAAAACCCTTGAGATTCTTCATCCTTGGGTCAAGAATCTCTTTCTCATCGTTCTTCCAAAGTCAATTCTGGCTCCTGGGGGGGGGGAGGATCGAGCGCTGTCCTCGAGCTCGGTTGGACATGTACGTCAAGTCGCTGCACGTCAGATTCGCTCCAACTCTTCGGATCGACCAAAAGAGGGCGGAGCGCCCAGCATGCGGGGCTTTGGCTCCAGACCCCTGCGGACTGGAGGGACTGCCAGGGAGTCTCCAGGGAGACAACCCGCCCCCGCCCCCCAGCTCCAGGCGGAGTTCATCCCGTGTGCACTCCCTGAAATCATCAGCGGAATTCGTGGATGGCACCCCCTCTTCGGTCTGATCGAAGACCAGGGTCAGCCGAGTCGAGCTCAGGGGTCATCCGAGTCAAAGAATGCCATCCACTTAGCACCATCACCCTTCCTCCACCATGTTAGTCCGAGGCACCGCCCAGGCCCTGCACCAGCAATCGGATCATCTTGTGAAGCGCCAGGCCGCGGTCCACGGCCATGGTGTGGTGAGGATTTTGGTGAATACCTCAGGACAAGGCCCCGGGCCCCCCGGGCTTGGAAATGGACCCCACCATGGAAACCACGGTGTGGTGGGTTTGGGAGAAATCAAGTGGAGCTCAACCATGCAGGAGATGGGTCGAAACCAACCATCTGGAGCCTGCCCTGGTTCATCATGTGGAGTGTGTTTGACCAACACCAGGGCGGCGCAACCACCGTCCACCGCCCACCATCAGATCCCCCACCGTGCCCCCACCGTGGCATGGTTCGAAGAGCCGAGTAATACCCGGGAAGACCATTCAAAGAATGGCGATCGAATCCTAGGTGACCTGTAATGTCGAATCCTTAGTATATAAAAGCCATGGTGATTTCGCCGTGGGATGACCCACTTTCCTCCCCAGTTCACGGGTTCCGGGTCAGACAGGTCAACATTGTCGGCTTTCCTCAACCAATGCTTCTCCGAGCTTTGCAAATCATTGCACGCATCCTTGACATCAATGTCCAACGCATTGAGCATGTCCACCTTCGTATGCCTGACATTCCACACATGTGCGGTTGGATTTTGGTCCGTCGTTGGCTTGTTGCTTCTGGGGTCAGTGATCGACTCCCTCCCCAGGATGATGGATTTCGTCGCCTGTCCATCTACCACAAGAACCTCATCGAGGAAGTGCTTGCCGCATCCATTGAAGAGTGGATTACGCATGAGGCACCTGTTGATCTTCGTGGCGTTGCCCTCCGGCTGCGCCGGCACTTCTTTGTCTCTATGGCTTCGGCTCCGCCTCACGTTCCAGTGACTGATACACCCTTGCGTGTGCGCTTTGTTGGGCCAACAGATGCTGCCACTGTTCACACCAGGCTTTTCCGTGGGTTCAATCATGAGATTCCTGGCTTCCCGATTGTTGACCGCTTGCAGGCCTTGCTACGAAATGAAGGTTGGCTTGCCTCTGACGAGCTCAATTTTCTGCTTGATCCTTTGCGCCTGTTGTTCAACCAGATCCTCTTTGCCCCACCGGGCAGGTGGCATGACGATCGTGCTGATTTGATTTTCTTCCAAGACAGGCAGGTCGATTTCCGTTTCCATGAGCATTCGATTTGGTTCGTCATTTGTGAAGAAGCCTGGATCAAGCTTGACCTCATCGCTCAAGGAGAACGGTATGCCCTTTTCGTGCATTGCCACAACCAATTCATTGAGATCCTGCCTCGTTTTGTGGTTTACATTGCAAATGCCCTTGGAGTCCATGCCTCGGTCATCCACGCCATTCATGTCCCACAGACTTCGCCGCATGGCCTTTGTGGTTGGTCCTTGGTCTATGACTTGTACTGGCGTGCTGGTATCCTCTTGCCCGATGCTTCTGTTGCCTGTCGAAATGCCCTGCTGAACACCCGTCACCATGACTTGATTGCTCGTATCCAGCAGGAATCGCATGATGAGTGGCGCCGTCTTGCTGATCCGGCTTTGTCCAACTTCTGCATTGCTGCTCGCACCGCTTTTCTTGGGCGTGTGCTTCAAGGTTTCTTTGACTCTCATAGAGGTGCTGCTGGAGGTTCATCGGAAGCCGCATCCAAGCCGTCAAATGCAGAGTCTTCGGCTGCGCAATCCGGACCGATTGATCCGCTTGTCGCAAACGACCCTTGGAAGCAACCCAAGAAGCTTTTCGGCAGCCGCTGGGAGGACTTGTTATTGCCTAGTGACCACCCGCTGCATGATTCAGATGGAAAGCAACTCGAGCAGACTCATAAGCTCCAGGCGTCAGCGAGACGCCATGGAGTTGTGCTTGCGACAAAGGGTGCCTTGCCTGATTTGTCTCGGATTACCCCGGTTGGTGCCTTTGCTGTGCTCATTCCGTCCGTTGACCGCTCAAAGCTTGGTGATTTTGCTGCACGCCTCAAGGGCCCACATGAAATTGTGCTGTCAGATCCGGTCCTCAAGACCGAGTACAAGCGGCTGGTGCTCTTGTTCCCGGTGAAAGGAGACGTTACCGTCAAGTTTCCGGAGGCAAAAGTGACTTTCACCGCTGTTGAAGTCGTTGAGCTTGTGCTTGAATGTGATTCGAGGCTGATGTCACCATCTGAACTTGAGACTGCAAAACGCAATCCGTTACAGTACATCAAGGAGGCCATCATCTCGCAGTTTCCTGACTGGAAGGAGAGTTTTCATTTCTATGCATTTCGCCAAGGTCGACACCCCGCTGCCGGACGTGAGGATGTGCAGTATCAATGCATTATGAAAACTCCCAAAGCGCACAGAGGCAAGTTGCTGCAGGCCAGTGGGGCCCATTTGGTGTTGATTCGGGACTTTATCGAGAATGGGAACCAGAGTTCAGATCTCTCCGTTATCCCACGTTTCTGGGAGGTCTCTCCACAGGCATTGCATGAGGCAATTATCGTGACCAAGAATGTGAGTGGCTATGCTGGAATCGTCTTGACGCGACGTGGGCTCGCGGTGAGGTCTTGGACGGCGAACATTGCTTATATGAGGAAAGCTGTGATTCCATCAGATCCGAGACTTACATCCGACAATATCGGTGTTGTCCCAAGGCATTCTTACCGTGCTACCGGGTGGCCCCCGGCTGTCGATCCGGGCAACGTCGTGACCTCCATCACCAAGGCGATTGGTTTGCCTCCAATCCCAACCAAAGCATTTCGTGCCAACGGTGTGCATGGTTGGATTGTAGCCTTTGAATCCAAGCCCACAACTGTCAAGTTTGCGCTACAAATCAATGGCAACACATACGAAATTTTGTTGGTTGAGGAGTCGGCTTTTCCCCTTGCCAAGCCGTTGCAGAGGCAGCAGAATGCCACCAAGAAGAACCGCATCTCTGAGGTTGCCGGTCCGAGTCCGAAGATCTCTCAGCCGAGTGTGCATTTTGTGCCCACATCATCCTCCGCTGAATCCCAGCGGATTGACAGGCTTGAGCAGAGATTCGAGGCACTTGAATCCCGCCAAGGCCGTATGGAGCAGAAATTTGATGAACGCTTCTCCGACATCTCCAGTTCACTTCGCCAGTTACTCCAAGCTGCTAATGCTCCTAGAGCCAGGGAACCGACGGGCGAATCTCCAGCCCCCAAGGTTCCAAAACATGATGCCTGACTCCTGATGGGAGAGCTGCTCCTGACGAGGGAGCTTTCTTTCGTTTGCTTTGTTTGTCTGTGGATTTTCGCTGGTTTCCGTCTTTCCTGTTTGCACATTGGGAGCGCTCTCCCTCTTGGATTTTCTCATTGTCATTGGTGTGGGTTTTTCCCGCTCCTTTGCGCTTTTGACTTCCCACCACATGCCTTGCTGCCAACTGGATTTTTCTCGTTTGTGTGTCTCTCTTTGTCCGTGTGCCTGGTGCCATGTCCAGCTTTCGTGCAGCCGTGCTTAGAGTGGTGGCTTTGCCAATTTAGTGCATTGTCACGTCGACTTTCCCAGAAGAGCTACGTCAGCTCCTCATTGAGCGGAAAACATGAGTTCCACATTGCGGCTGAAAGGGGTCGAACCGTTTCGCTTCTTTTCGCTAGTACTTTCCACTGGTTGACCACTTGGTTAAGTTTGCAGATGAGTCACGCTGGGTGGTGTGGCCTTCGACATGAAGTGTGTGATTTTGATGCTACCTTTGGCTTTCCGGGGGAGGGTCCAACGGATGGTTGCCTGCCCTTGTGGTCCATGGCGTCCATGAACTTAGGCAGCCTCAAGACATCCTCTCATTGGAGATATACTGATGATCAAATCCTGTGTTTGCAAGAGACTCGCATCGGCCGTAACAATTTTAGGTCAGCCTCCAAAGAAGTCCAATCCTGTGGGAAGAACCTGTTCTGTGGGGAGCTCCTGCCGGGTATTATCCGGACTGATGGTCACCACACGACCACCCACGGTGGCACGGCTTTGATTGCCGCGGAAACCATTGTCACTGCCTTTTCTTGTAACCAGGACCTGACGGGCAAATACAAAGATGTTTTTGCTTCCAAAAGAGCCAACGCGTGCTGGGTTCAAATTTCCCCTCATGTCCGGGCTTTGGTTTTTTCGGTCTATGCTAAGTCCGGGGCTTCCGCCAACCACGATATCCTTTTGGAAAATGACCAGCTTTTGTCCGATATCTTTGAGATTGTTTCTCAGTTTGGGGACATTCCCTTGATCATCGCCGGAGACTTCCAAACGTTGCCTACCAATTACCCCTCTGTTTCTAATGCAGTTCACTTTCACAGGTGGGCGGATCCCCTACAGGAGGTAACTGAAGACGGTGACCTTTTTAGACCTTTGACTTTCTCCTTTGATGCCGCCTTTGCAGGGAGTGGGGATGGTTGTTCTTCCATTGATGCAATCTTGGTCAACCATGTTGCACATGCAGCTTTGGTCGACATCCAAGTGATTGCGGGCACTGGATCCCAGCATCGACCCATTCGCGCTTGGTTTTCCTGGAACCGTATTTCATTGACGGGCGATGTCCATGTTAAAACTGCTGCATTGGACACTTCACACCTCCCCAAGGGTGGTTCTCGTGATTCCCATTGGGTTGATGACATTGCCAAAAATCTTTGCCCATGGGTTGATGAGTTTGTTGGGTCTTCCTTGTCTTTGGAGAAACTTTGGACCAAGGTAAATTCGTTGTGTGTTGATACACTTGTTGGTGCTGGTGCCAAGTGGGGTTTTGGGAAGCGCTTGAGGGGCTCCCTTCCTCAATTCTCGACTAAGACCATTTGCCCTGGACAACTTCCATGTGGCTCCGCTACCACAAGTCGTGGTTCGCAAATCCACAACTCATTGTCAAGGTTGAGTGAGCTCTTCACTCGTGTTAGCAGGCCTGTTGGCACCGCCACCGATAAGATGATTTCACTCAGGACCGCACTGAAATGTAGACGTGCTCTAAGGGTTCTTGAATCACCGTTTGCCTGGACCCATAAAGGGATTCCTTCTCTCGTGGAAATTGATGCAAATCTCACGTGGATCCGATCCGAGGCTCAGGCATGGGTTGTGCAATGTAAGCAGAAGCGCATTGCCGCATGGAAACATAAGATCCAAACCGCCGAAAAGGGCACGATGAAATTCATCTATCACCATTTGAAAAATAAATCCTGTGATGAACCTCCTAACCTTGTCCATGATGCCGATGGTAACATCATTTATCACCCCCAGCATGCCATTGCTGCCATCAATGATAAATGGGATGATATCTTTAGTGCGAATGTATCTCACGAAGAGCCGCTCCATGTACTGCGTGTCGTTTGGCCATACCTTGACCATGATGTTGAGCCCTGGTCCCTTGCTGCGCTGACGGGTGCGGACATCCTCCAGACAATCCAGAACAGAAATCCGTTGGCAGCCGCTGGTCTTGATGGGTGGCGCACTTCTGATTTACAGAAATTGCCCTTGACGTGTTGCGAAGCCATTGCCGCCTTTTTCAATAGGCTGGAAACTGAATGTGAGTCATCCATACCTGATGTCCTTGTTCGGGCCAAGCAGATCATTTTAAACAAGCCTGGTCTTTCAACTCCATTGAATAAGAGGCTCATTGCCGTCATGTCGCCGTTATTGCTTGCTTACTCAGGTACACGTTTTCGCCATCTTCAGGAGTGGCAAAGATCTCGTTTGCCCAGGCAGCTGTGTGGTGGCATTCAAGGCCGAACAATGGCCTCTGTTTCAGTGGGCATTCGCCTTGATATTGATCAGGCAATGTGTGATCAAACTGACTTGGTTGGCATAAAACTTGACCAGTCCAAATGCTTTGACCGTATTGTTCCGGCCATTGCAGGAGTTCTGTTCTTAGCTTTTGGGATGCCCAAAGGAGTTGTTAATGTGTTCCTGAAGACCTATGTTGGTCTCAAAAAGCATTTATCCTATCGGGGCTGGGTTTCTAAACAGCATTCGACGTGTGCAAATGGTGTTGCGCAAGGATGTAGTCTCTCACTTCTTGCAATCAACACGTTTATGGCTGTTTGGGTGAAGTTTGTTTCCCTGATCCCACATGTTACCTGCAGGGTGTTCATTGATGATGCTTACTTGTGGGTTCGAATACAGCATCTTCACCATCTCCAAACTGCCTTCCATGTCACACAGCAGTGGAACTTGCTGATTGGACAGAAGCTTAATCCGGACAAAAGCACCCTCTGGGCCACGTCGACAAGTGCCCGGAGCCAGGCTAAGACTTGTTTCCCTGCCATCCCTTTGGCTTTAGAGTTTGATGCACTTGGTGCTAAGATCTATACGTCCCAAAGGAATGCTACGGCTTGTTCTCCAGAACGCATTGCCAAAATTAGAACCGACATCAGGAACATTTCTGCACTCCCTGTTTCTCGGAAAACCAAAAGCAAACTCATTGCTGCTAAAATTATCCCGCAGTGTGCATTTGCCGCTGAGCTCACAGATCTCACCAAGAAAGCGGTTACCGATTTGCAAACTGACATTGTCACTGCCTTATGGGAGAACCGCCCACATTGGCGCTCGAAAATGTTAGTTTTGTCCCTTCTTGCTGAACCATGCCTGGTGGACCCAAAAGTAGCTAGAGCTTTCAATGCTATCAGAAATTTTTGGCGGTTTGTGCATGCATACCCTGCTATGCTTGGCACTCTTCAGACCATTTTCTGTCGAAGTGTGAGCCACCCTCACTCTTTGTTGCACTCAGTGTCGGAAGCCCTGCGGATCTTCCATATCAGTTTGTTTGAGGACATGACTTTTGGTATTGCTGATGTTCGTATTCCGATCATCGAGGTTTCGTTTAAAGACATCAAGCAGCTGCTTTATACTCTTGGGCGGCAAGCGTGCTATGAATCCTCTGTGTTTAAGCCACGTAAAGACCTGAATAGACCCTCAGGCATGTTGGATGTTGCACTTTCTCGGCTTTTCCTGCGGCGATATAACCCGCCTAGAGCATCCAAGGAAAATCTTGTTCCTTTCTTTGAATCACAGTTGGTAGGGTGTACGATTACAAATGATCGGCGCTTCGCTGCGGGTTTTTCAGAGACGAACCTTTGTAGGTACTGCAACTCCGTGAAGGAGTCACTTAAACACATTGTTCAAGAGTGTGCTAATTGCCCTGAGCACTTGCGCAAATGCACTGCCCATGATCTTGGCCCCAATTATGCCAACTTCGGGATTGTTGAGCACCCCCCTGCCATCGTTGCTCACCGGCTCAGGTGGACTTCCTGGATGCACTCGGAAGAGGTGCCATTCCAACCGCATCTTCCGAAGACGGAGCGATGGACTGATGGCAGTGTGGTCTTCGCGGACTACTTTTGGCTTGCAACAGCAGCATACGCAGTCGTTGATGCAAACGAGGTATGCATTGCTTCAGGTAGAGTTTTGCACCCAGGTATTTCGTCATACGCGGCGGAGCTTTTCGCCATTCTTGTTGCAGTGGCCAAGACCCCTGCTCATGTTTGCATTTTCACTGACTGCTTGACTGTGGTTGAACTTTTTGCAGACATGGTGGCCTGCAACAGAGTCGATCCAACGTGGAGCCATAGTGCGTGGTGGAATGTTCTTCTTCATCTATGGAACACCCGCTCTGCTGTGGCTGTTGAACCGTTTATTCTCAAGTGGATCCCTGCGCACAAGTGCGACGATCTTCCCCTTGATGAGATAAATGCGGAGGTTGCCGCCATTCATAACATCCCCCTTCGACACTTGCGCTGCAACAGGGTGGCGGACGAGAAAGCTCGAGAATGTGCCCTCCAGCATGCACCCGTCCACCCTCGGGTTTTTAGGCAACTTGAATATGATGTCTTCCAAAGACAATCTCAGCTGGCATTCTTGAACAAGTCTATTGGGACCGATATAAATATTCGAAACTTCTTTGTCACGAAGGAGGATATTTGTCCTACATCAGAAGCATTTGGTGTGCGTCGACGGTTTCCGTCTTGGCCGTGGAAGGCGGACTCGGCTCATTTTAGCTGGATACCTTTGCATGATTCGGAAGTCCTGTCCGAGTTATCCAAAGTTTTTGGTCAGATAGATGCTTCTTGCATTGTTGAATTTTGGACCTCATTGCGTTGGCGAGAAGGTGAAACATTTTCGGTTTCATACATTGAACTTGCATTTCTTTTTTGTCGGCAAAAGAGGGCGCTCGAGAAAGTTCCGGAACCCGATGCGACAGTTGCAAAAGTTCAGAAGGTCCTGAAGCGAGCTGCGGGGATTATTTTTGCAGTACCTTCACAGAAGGTGATTCCGGGGGTCCATGACTCCACATGGGCTCATAAATGTGGGCGTGCTGTTCCTAAAGGTTCCATCAGGTGCGCCAGGCCCTTGTTCACGGATCCTGAGCTTGAGATGTTTGCAAATCTGCTGCTTGACGGAAAGAATCAGAGCCTCAAAACGTGGGATATTTCTCCCGCTGACTGTTGGACGTGACTTAATTCATTTTGGTCGTGATGAGGCCTTCCCCGGGTCTCGGTTGTTTAGGGAAATTCGTTTGCTGCAACCATGGCCATTAGACCAGCGTGTCTAAGGCCTTCCCACAACACGTGGGAGCGACAGATAGAACAGGTGGAACCGGTCGGGCTGGTTGGAGCGCCGACCTTGAAGTCTGCATTTCACCAGACTTAGACCTGTTGGGGTCCTAGAGTAGAACACCTTTCACCTCCTTTCCCCCACTCCAATGTCGCGTCTTAGGCACTCATGTCCGTGTACATCGCGGCATCCATCAGCCAGAAGGCCAATGTCTTGTCACCCACCTCAGCCGAGCGAGCAAGCGCAACAGAGCTGGGGGGGTCGGTGGGCGAAACAAGCCAGCCCTTGGGTGGTCACTCCACGGAATGGAACGTGTTTTGAAAGGCTCGACTGTATCAGATGTACCACTCGGAAACACGATATCGTTTCAATGACTGCTTACTCTGCTTATGTGAATGGCACCCACCTGTGGTCTTCGTTCTTCACTCATCCGAGTCGAACTCAGGGTCATGCGTTCTTCATGACGAGACCCTCGTTTGGTACGCTCCAAGACGAGTGACAATCGCCTGGTCGTGAGACTCGGCATAGGCCACCACCTGTGGTTTGTACCACTCCCGGGAGGATCCCCTCGTTGAGCCGTCTACATGGGCAGGCTTAGCTGGTTGGCGTAAAGACGAGGAGGAATCCAGACATGGGGGATGAAAGCAAGTGAAAGCACGTGAAACTCGTTCTCCTCCAAACTCGGTCAAAGATCCAAAAACAAACTCTTAAACGAAGTTGGACATCTTGTCAGACCGATGGCAAAAGACCAAAAACCATGGTGTTTTTTCGGTTTTGCTGCCATCCCTGGAGCCACATCGCAAGTTTTGGGCCTTCCGTTGTGCTGTTTCAAGTCCCTTTCCCCCGGTCCTTCTCCAGATGTCGTCGGTTCGTGAGCCTCGGACGGGGCGTTTGGTGAGAGACGGCCGAGACGGCATGGGAGGTTTTAATCCAGGAGCCTGTTAAACTGATCTTCCGGAACAACCATTGGTTTTACTGAAAAATGCAGATAATAAATAATAAATATTGGCCCATTAATTTTTGGGCCTATCATTCTCTTATAGTATTTCCTGCTCTTGGGATTACACCGCCAGGCCAAGAGCAAGAGTTTTGCACTACAACACCGGCTCGTTCCCCTTTCCATGGTCGATCTCGGGAGCCCAAAAACGGAGGGTTCGAACCGAACCGGGAACCGAACCACCTGTGCCAAACCGTTCCGAGGAAACCTTTCCATACACTCATGGAGGATTGGAACATCATGGAACCTGAAAACCATTGGGTTCGTAGAGGAAGCTTCCAGTTCGTCTTCCAGTTTCTTCGGTCTCCCGGCTCGGGTCCTCCGGTGCCGTGCGACGAGAGCTTCGTGCCAGGAGACGTGTAGCAAATGTGGCCCATGTCCCAGTTGTCATCGCCCACTTCCTGCGCCGCGTTGATTCATGGCCGGCCGAACATCCGCGTCTCCACCCGGTGACTGCCCAAGCCATCCGCCGAAGCTTTTTCTGTCCGACCATCCACCGGTGCCGTGGTTTCTCGCCGCTCGGTGACTGACCGAAAAGGGTAGAGACCGTAGTCTTTTCGCCCAGGAAAACAACGGAACTACCCCGGCCTAGTAGGAGGGACTCTACCCAGACGCGACCCTGGGCCCTCATATGGAGGGGTCTCGGGTTTCTCACCAATCCCGATCGGTTTTGAGGGACCGGGAAAGGGCTGTGAACGGAGCGTCTGGGTAGGACCATTCACGTGGCCAAGTACGTAAGGTTAAACGAGTCACCGACGCCCCGTTTCGCCCGACCGGACATCGCCCGACGAATCGGCATGACTCGTTTCGGGCGGACGAACCCGCCGGGTCGTGTCGCTCGCGTCGCTGGTGTGGCTCGTTTCGGAACCGAAAACATGAACAAAAAGTGCAGCCGAAAGACGAGACCGGAAGCACAAAGAGGTTCACCACGTCCCAATCCAATCGAATACTGTTTTGTGTTTGCACGTTTTACATATATTTTATATGTAAAAAAACGATAAAAAAGACAGTTCTGTCGCCGCAAGCATCACTCGTGATTACACTCCCAAAAAACTCACATGGACCTGAGAATGGCACCCTGAAAGACTGTCTACAAGAGTCTACAAACCCATGGTTATTTTGAGGGTCCATGTCAGTCTTCAGCAAAGTATAAAGCAAATTCTTAGCACATGATCATCATGATCGACATATCCCAAAGCCAGCAGTTTCTCTTCATGTTCCCAGAATTGCCGTTCGCTCCCGACACACACACACACACAGCCTGGCTCACAGGTTGAAAGAAACGGACTGCTCTTCGACGAAACGACCGACGTCGTCGTGTTTTTTTCAGATTGTCCTTCCGCGGACCCCACCTGAAAAACAACAGACTTAGCTGCCAGCCTTCAGCAATTTGATAAACATATCGGGAATGGCCATTGCCAAACCTTAGGCAATCACAGCAGCTAAGGGGGGAAACCTGTCATGCAATGAACAGTATCCTGAAACTTGCTTCCTTGGAAGTCCAATCAAATGCTCCTTCATGCTCGCACCACCGAAGTCATTCCCACCTAAAGACGTGTTTTCCCAGATAGCGGGAGCCATTGGGGTTCTTACTTCAAGTGTAGGAAGAGATGCCTTCTGTGCTCTTTGGAGCCTGAGTGCTGGTGGCTGCAGGGTGCCGCCCACAAATATCTTTCGCTCTCTGAGGTCTAATGCTGACGTAAGCCACGTGTCCAACGACTCCGGTCTTTGCTCTTAGCAAACGGTCGCATACGACGAATCTGCGACCTCCAAAACGACGAAGCGAAGAAGCAGACGATCGTCTCTGCCCCTCGTCTCCAGCTTCTCTTCCAAGCCACGATAGTCGAAGCCAAAGCCGCCCCACTCCACGGGCAGGCCAATGGTCGGCATGCCGCTCACATCCTGCCGGCCGCCCGGCCAGGGATCTGGTGGAGTGCAGATCGGACTGTGGCGACGTCAGAGGCGACCGTGGCGACGGAGAGGAAGTCGGACGGACCTGGTAGAGGTGGTAGTTGTGCAGGACTCGGTGCATGACTCGAGTTCTAGTTGAGATGACTCGGGCCAAATCCGGCTCCTGTTCTCGTGGGTTGGCTTCACTTAACGGAGGATAGAGACCAAATACTGTTCAAGGCCTTTCAAAGAGCGCATGAACATTCACACAGGCAATTGAAATGACCTGTGTCCCAGGTCAAAAACACGCTCCAAGACGCTCTACGAAATCGGATTCAATTGGGTCTCAGCATTAGAGTTGTGTTTTAATGAATTTGCTTGTCACTCTTAGCCAATGGCAAAAGAAGAACAGGTCAGGTCGAGAGCTCCAGATAGGTGGGTGCACTGTGCCATGGGTCAACTCCCCACATCACTTGTATCGCGATGGGTCAGTTGAGACCGGGCACCCTGGTTGACGATCAGCGGTCAATCAGGGCTCCGGGCTTTTGGTTCCCGGATTGGTGTTTTCGGTTCCCGCGGTGTTTTTTCTTCCCGCGTTGGTGTTTTCGGTTCCCGCGGTGTTTTTGGTTCGCAAGTGGGTTTTTGGTTCCCGCGCGGCGGTGTTTTCGGTGCCCGGCTCGGTTTTTTCAGTGCCCACGGGTGTTTTCAGTTCCTGTGATGGTGTTTTCGGTTCCCGCCTTGCGTTGAAGAGGGAAAAAAGCGCGGATGTTTTCGGTTCCCGCGTTCGGTGCGTTTAGGTCTCCGGTGTTTCGGGTTTTCGCGTCCGGTGTTTTCGGTTCCCGTGTCGGGTGTGCTGTGATCCCGTGTGAAACGGTGGGAGTCTTGTGTTGTCGCGGGACAACGCGAAAGAATTTTTGTAAAGACACGAACAAACACGAACCACCAAAAGCCACAACCACTACCACTACCACCACCACCACCACCACGAACAACAGCAATAACGACCACAACAACAAGAACAACGACAACAACAACAGCCACAACAACCACAACAACGACGACGACGACGACGACCAACAACGACGACCAACAATGATCAACAAACAACATGCTAAAATCGACGACAACAACAACAACACCACCACCACCAACAACAACAACTACTACTACTACTACTACTACTACGACAACGACAACGACAACAACAACAACAACAGAAACAACCGCGACAGCGACAAGAACTTGGCGGCAACGTTGCGCCAGTGTGGCTGAATGAAACTGGTGTCCAAGCAAATGGAAAAGAAGCAACGCTTCAGCATGGTTGCCAAAGCAGGAAGTGGGCAAATCTTTTTGAACCCCAGCGTCACAACAGCTAAGTCCCGCTGCACACGGACATCAAACTAGCATTCACACGACCTGCGTCGACGTTGGCCTCAGATGCGCGCAAGCTCACAACATGAAACCGACAAGCCGTAGAGAGAGGCTGCAGAAGGTGACAATGCAACTTGTTAACGCATGCAAAAAAAAGTTGGAGCCCTGGAGACCAAGCTTCCACTTACTGCTTGGCGCCAGCACAGCAGTAAAGGACTGGCTGCATGGCATGCGATCATTTGATACATTCGCCACACGGTCATGAAGGGGCTGTTGCGCGGGTACCTTGGAAGACGGCCAGGCCACTTCCATACGCCTCTCCTGCCAGTGTGAGTAGCAAAACGTCGATTGCAGACTCTGAAGACAAACGTGCAATTGAATGGAGTGGAGGAGTCTAGAGCAAGCTTTTGGCGCACGAGCCTCGTCGCGCACCGGCTCATCCTGACAAGGCAGAATGAGCAACGCAGGACAGGCGACAAAGAAGGACAGGCGGCAAAGAAGAACCGCCGCAGCAGCAGCGGCAGCACCACCAGCAGCAGCAACAGCAGCAGCCGCATCCAGCAACAGCAACAGCAACAGAAGCAACAGCAACAACAACAACAACAGAAACAACCGCGACAGCGACAGGAACAGCGGCCGCAAGAACAGCGGGAACAGCAACAGCCAGCACAGCAGGAAGCGCGGACAAGAGCGAAACTACGTGCTGCAGAACCAAACAGTACTGCTGCAGCTGGGGGCCAAACGACCGCGAAGCGGAGGAATCCAACCTGGTAGGCTCAGATTTAGCAGCGCAAAGCTAAGTAAGCAGAAGCAGCTGCAATTAAGCTACAGGCTGGTGTTTTCACTGTAAGGGCACAGTGCTGGCGCAAATAGTCTTTGGCGGTCCAGCACCAGTTGGCCTGGTACAAGGTTACATGCCAAATTGTAACGGTATGGTAGGAGCGAAACATGACATGATAGATAAGTTTGTACCACCTGCCTCGTCTTCTTCGCTGAGGTTCTCCCAGCGCGTCATGGCCAAAAATGAAGCTCTGTATGCTTTCGTC